AAAAAAAAAAAAAAAAATTATTCATACGAGTATTAGGCGAGCGAGAGAGTATAATTTTGTATGATTAATTCATGCGCGTTAGGTAAATTGTAGCATTATTCACGAGCGTAAGTACATTGTGTACGTGGAAGCTCTTTGGGAGGAGAATGATGTCTATTGTACGTATACTTGAGCGAGGAATAGAGAAAAACGTATAAACGCATATATAGAGACTGCGGGGCTATGATGTATTGTATGATACTAACTTATTTACGCTCCGCCGAGAGAAAAAAAAGGTCGAAGAATAAAAGGGATTTTTAAAGGGAAGGGAACAAACGAGGGCAAAATAATGATTTTGTATATTTTGTGTGTTTGGTTTACTACGCTTTATGAGGAAAAAAAAAAAATTGTATATATATTTATGAGCGTGAAAATATAGGTCAGCTATCGATGCACCCTGTTGACCATGTACTTATTGCAATTTTGACAAAAAAAAAAAAAAAAAAAAAAAAAAAGGTTGATACACGCGGTGCGGTGTAGTTGCATATTAGTACAATTATAATGCATTTTTGATTAATCAAGACTTGATTCGAACAAAAGATAAATAAAATAAAATAAAAAAATAGGTATATCTATGCGTGAAGATGAAAAACGACACAAAAGAGAGTGCGTAGCTCGGGTGCGCATATTACAATGTATAAATTTATAAACATATAGAGAAGAAATACAAAAGGAGCCAAGGTATAGACGAGCTTGTGTTGGTATACAGTATACATGATATTATATGTACATAGGAAAGAAAGTCGAGTTTTAAGAACAAGTTGACAGAGAGAAGAAGGAGAAGAAGAGGCAAGAGAAGGGAAAAAGATGAGCTGATGGTCTCTTCTACATTCCTGAGGTTGGTTGGTTGTTGGTCCTTCCCCTCTCTCTTTTTTTCCTCTATACGTGTGTCCATCGATGGCTCTCTCTGATGCATATATATATGGGATATATGCAACTCGGATACCAAGCGTAGTACGAATATACACATAACTATATACGCGTAGGAGGTATACCCCTCCTAAGCATTACAATGCATTAGAAAAATATACGTTTGAAGCTGTGTGATGTCGCGAGATGCGTACTACATAAATAATACATAAAAATATAATTATTCAATGCATAACATTGGTACATCGCACATATATGTATATATAGTTTTTCAATTTATTTTTCCATTTTATTAAGAACGAGTACAACAATAATGTCATACCTATATACTTATGGTACTGAAAAAGCTTACATTTTGTTTTGTTTTGTTTTTTTTTTCAACTTGTTTTACGTCGTCTCTCGTTACCTTGTACTTATTTGGCCCGATTTCTCCTTATTTCGTATTGCCTCCTCCGACGCGACTGCCAGATGTCATGGTTTCTCAAGACATCCGATATAGTATCGGCAGTAACGACAACAATATTTATTATATATTAAAACGTATCATACCGTATACACGATCAACATATTCTTTTTATACGACAAAAGACCGTAATTCATATAGAAACGCGCAAAATAAATAAATTTTTTCAGACCATCATCGTCAATGAATGGGATCATTGGACGATTACTATAATCAGGTGATTGATGGCTGCTGCCGCGGTGAAGCTGTCAAAGTGCGTCGTTGAGTGTGTAAGTAGGTATATTTGTTTCTGGTATATCACGAATACAATGGAGCACAAGCTGTTGTATGTACAATGATTAATTCCAATGGCTTGACTTCGAAACCCGTGTTTTTTAATCACCGCTCTTTCTCCACCCCTACAATCCCCACTCCCCTTTGGTGTAAGTGTATACACATTCTCTCTGCTTGTTTTTGTCTTAATACTTTACAATGGTATTACACGTGTATTTGGGTTCTCGTCGAAAGCCATCACTTTTTTGGCTTCCGTGCAATCGCCTTCGAGCTCCCGTGCCAGTTATGGTTTCAAAGATATCGAGTTTCAAAGGAGGGAACGCTTTGTTTCACGAATTAACAACAAATCGTCACGAAAACCGTGATATTTTTCTTCCAATTTCAGGTGTTGGGTAAATAGATTCTTTTCAATTCTATCAATTGGCAAGTTATATGCATGTGCTGTTTATAATTCTAAATCGTTATTTTTATTGTTATTCACTTCTCATATAAGTAGTATTGATGTACGATGTATGTATATTATGGTTAATCGTGCAGTAGCTATCTTTATGCAACCAGAGTTTGTTAAATGTTGTTCTATAGTATCGCAACAGCGCAATTATATTTGGGTATGCCTACATTTACGACGATGATACTGTTATCCGTTCCGTACTTTTTTTTTGTGGCTGGTTTAGCTATATACCATCGCCAACTTGTTCATAAACCTACTTGTACTTTCTACGAGATTATAATCTTCTTAGCCCAAACGTGTACAAAACAATTTAATTTAAAATATAACAACAAATAAAGGTGTATGAAAAAAAAAAAAATAATAATAATAAAAAAAAAAAGATAAGAAGTTTGGAAATAGTGAAAACGATTTTATAAACATAAAAAATAAAAATAATAAGTGCGTATAACGAGATACAATATAATATTTGTGTATACTGGAGACAATTTAGAATCATTTATACTGGATTCATGAAGAAAAAAAAGAAAAAAAAGAAAAAACGTAATATAATAAAGGGCTCGTAGAGTATACTTATCATCACAAACTAAACACACATTACGCTGTGGAGGTGCGAGAAGAGCGGATTAGATTAGGCATGTGACTTAAGATACGAAGATGTATTTACATCCGAGAATGGGATCTTTACAAAAATGATAAGATATTTATACGCACGTGTATTTAATTAAATGCATATGTATGTGGGGGGAGTACGTATACACATACATTACATGTATACCATCAGACAAGGTGCACCTATACATGTATAATATACATGTATGTGGAGAGGTAAGTGTAAAGATGAATTATATCATTGGGTATGTAGGTAAGTATACACACTAACCATGGCCGAGCTCGGCGAGGCTGGATACGGCGACGAGGAAAACGCAGCAGCAAGCGAGGCCGCGGAGCAAGGAGCTGAAGCCTCTGGCCATATCTCTTCAGCAGGCTTGCCTGCTCTGGCACGGCTGAGCTCTCGGAATGGCGGCAGCCTCCACTATGAGTAGCATCCCGCCCTCGCAGCAGCTCGCTCTTTCTTTTCTTTCTTTTTTTTTTCTCCTCCGATGCTGCTGTTGCTTAATTACGCTACCTATAATGCATCCTATAGTGCAAGTGCTGTAGCGATGGTAACTTGTAGCTAGCTGTGTGCTCCACAATCAGCCGCTATTTAACGCCGATGTTGTGATCTTGTTAGCGTATATACTTTAGTTTGTCATTTTTTGGAGCACCGAGCACGTATATATAGGTATACGCACCTACTTTTGATTAATCGGTCACTCACGAGTTTATAATTTATAACTCACGATCGCGAGCAATACGCATATCAGCAGGGATCGTTGAACTCTGCTACACTTGCGTGTATTTTTCATTCAACTGTACAATTTCATTAATACTGCTTATGATATATACGTATTTACGAGCTAATGTTTATATGGTGCTGTATAGTATTTGGAGGTATGTGAAACGCGGTACGAGCTGATGCTCTCGCACTCGTGGTGCCCGATCGACTGACGCGGATGAGGCGCACTTCATCTCTGGGCGCACAGGCGCATAAGGGTAGGACGAAGTTGTACCTATAGATATACATTTACCCATGAAGATTCTTTTTCTCTGATCAGATATCAGATGATGCATAGATCGCGCTCTTCATTTTTTGTTAACGAAACCATAGTAAGTTCTTACTTATACTTGTTGCTGTTTTTAATACAATTGTTTCAATTTCCATACTGTATGATGATGTACAATTTTGATACTTAGAACTTGGAACAACAAAATGTTTTGTCAGATACCTATAAATATATGAATATAGTCGTTACAGTTTCAAACTTGCGTTCTTTTTTCATTATATAAATTATTATACTTACTTGCAGTTTGCAACTTTGCATGCAACACCCATTAATATTCTCATTGTTATTTATTAGTGAAAAAACCCTTCGTTACACTTATTGCTATCTATATTTTGCAAGGTACCTGTACATTGTTTGTGTAACCTGATCGATCGTTTTACACCTAGTAAATATTTAATGAATTTGCGCTATAGATTTGCTTATAGCGTAATTATTAAATTTTCCTCCTCACTTCACTTGTATGTCTTTATCCGATGCAAACATGTCACGAGATAAGTTTTATCATTGAATGAAAACTACTAAGTATTGTGTAATCGTGTTTTAAACGCGTAAGCGAACTCTTTTAGCATCGCAAATGTGTTGAATTTAAATTAGGAACCACATGTGTACGTTGACAGCATTGATCATCTTGATACCGAAATTTACGCCATCTTGACCATCTTGACCAAAAATGATTAGCCAATCAACGAGCACCCCGCCATATTGAATTTTCTACCAATCATCATCGAGCGCGGGAGAAATACGAATAAAAATGATGGACACGAAAACTATATAGATTTTGAAATACAGTATTTTTACTCAATTAATAATAACAATTATCAATCTATATTTTTTTCTAACTGCATAACAAAGCTAAAATTCTTTATTTTTTACTTTGAAATTTCTAGCCCAACCACGTCTCGACAAGTCTTAAATACGAAAAAATTAATCAGTTTGATTTTCAAATGTTTTGTATAATATGAAAATTATTGTAATATCAATAACATGTTGACCATGTTTAAGATAAAATATACTTAAAATTTAAGGTATGATGATAGTATGATACTCTCAAAATGTCAAGTTGATAGTTACCACGAATACGAATTTGCAGTCAGTCCAATAGGAAGGATATAACCTCAAATAAGCATGAATCGTCGGGTAATTTGGAAACCGGTGTTCCGTGCGATTTTTGTTTGTTTTTTTTTTGTTTAAACAATAACAAACTACCATGGCAATTGTTAAAGTACTGCGATATTTTGTAACAGCACAAAGTACAGTATCCGCATTGAGTGTTTTATGTAAATTTTCTGAAAACAGTAATGTACAAAAAATTTTAACTGTCGGTTATTCTGCACATAATTACAACAAATTCTTTCATACGGATTCGCATCTACGCACAATTGAAAAAATCAGTGCAGTGAAAGGCACCAAAGAAAATTTCTCTGCATTACAAATGAAAAAAAGACCTTTGCGAAAAAAGAGAACTCCAGCAGAAAACGACGAAGCACTTGTACCTGGTGTATGAAATTATTAATAAATTAACATTTTATAATTTGTCTAGAGCTATCGTTTTTTTTAGCAACAAATTCAATCTTATGTTAAAATACCTTTATAATTTCAGTTTTGGAGCGTGAAAGCATTGGCAACTGCTGAAGAATACAACTTGGAGAATTTGAAAGAAGGTTTAATCAAACAAAATTTGTATGTACCTGTTGAAATTAGAACTTCTGCTAAACGTAAGTTTCAACAAAATTTTTGGTATTTTGAGAATTAAAATAATTTAATTTTTAGCCGTTCCTGATGCAATTCAAGCTGTAGCTAAGTATGAAGTAGGCGATGAACCAAGAGAAATTTATTTTTTTCGAGAGGGCACTGCAGTAATGTGGAATATTACTGATTTAGAATGTAGTAATTTGCTACGATTTTTAAAACAATACCAATTTAGTAGTTACTCATCAGATGAGCTAGTTCAGGCTGAAGGAGAAGTAATGCTTTATACTTATACTGAATCTGGGTACTTGTTTATTCATAGTGTTAAAAAATGCATGAAATTTTAAAGAAGACCAAAAGCTTATTTTTTGTTTTATGTTTTAATCAGTAAACATAGTCATCTGAAAGATGGTGATATATATCTCTCACCTGGTGCTACTCTTGATAAGTATACATTCTCAAATGCTATATCGCAATCAGTTAAACTAGGCATTTGGGAAGCTACGCTGGATCGTTACATAGATTCTATAGAATTTGTAACTGAAGATTTGAAACATGGTCGACAAATTAGAATGTCTCGTGAAGAAGTATTGAGGAAACAAGGCGAGCTTCTTGCCTTGAGGCATTTAATCAATTTAAGCTCCGATCTCCTGGACACTCCTGATTTTTATTGGGAACGTGATGATTTGGAATCACTTTATCAGCAAACTTGCGCTTACTTTAACATTGCAAAGAGAACTAGAGTAGGTTGATAACTTAACTTTTAGAAAGCATTTCATAACTTTTTTACATTAATCCTAATATGACTAATTTTTTTTTTGCTATTAGGTGACAAATGAAAAAATCAATCACTGCGTTGAACTAGTTGAGTTGCTCTCCTCGCATCTCAGCGACCGACATCACGTTCGTCTGGAATGGATGATCATAGCTTTAATTATGGTTGAAGTTGGCTTTGAGATTTTGCATTATGTAGACCGCTATTTAGCAAAACAAGAAAATGAATTAATTGAAAGGCCAAATGTTATTACATTACAGTAATCTTGTGTGTTTTGTATGCCATGTAAAAAAACTTACGTTTTTATTTATATAGAACATATTTTTCATACTTAAGAAGTCTAAGTCTTTTTTTTTTCATCAATGGAGTCGTTGACTATTTTTATGTGTACTTTTTTGAATATCAGTAGTTACAGAAGTAGTAGTTTTAGTCAGAGAAGCGCTATCGCCACAGGAAATATTTTTCGACCTGAAGAGACTACTTTTCCTACCGAGGATGCACGCACAGTCGCACACTAAACATTGTACATATACAACAAACAAAGTCACGAAAAAATACCGCGAGATAGAAAAAAATTTGTATTTTTTAAATTTATCTTTGGGCGTTTACTGCGCCCGCAGTTGGAAAAATAGAGTTTGAACCTGGTGTGCATCCAACTAGGGCGAGCACCACAGGCAAGAAAACTATTTTTTTCAAAATTTTTTTTTTTTTTTATTTGCTTTGTAACAACTTAGTCAAATATTTGTTGACTTTTTAATAGTAGCGCCGAAAGCGTTGTAAACGTAATGTAACTGTAAAAATAAGAGCATTATCTCCCGTACAACTATATAACTATAGTCCAGTGTGACTCCAGTCCGCAGTCCGCAAGTCGTCTGTGTCCAGTGCAGCCCAATAAGTGTGTCGTTCACACTGCGGACTGCGAACTTGCGGAGTGCGGAGTTGTGGACTGCGGGTACGGGCTCTGCTGTGTATGTAATTATAGTATATACTGTCATTGTCGTGTCGTCGTGTGTATGTGCAGCTTATTTTGTGTGTGTATTTTAGCTTTCAAAGTGGAATTGCGGAAAGCGGAATTAATTCTTGTGTTGTTTGTGTTTTGTAGGTGGGTGGGTGTAGTACCGTAGTGTGTAGATGAAACTGAAATTGTAATGACTGATGGTGATGTGGAAATTGTGTATCAAGTACTACAGTGAGTGTCCGTCAGCATAATTACCTGTCGTAAGTCATCCAAATGGCCAATAGGTATCTATACTACTAGGTACAAACACCGTCCTGTCCGGTTCGATACTTATGTCGGTGAGTCGTGCAAGACTCCTCGCGAGTGTATCGACGAACGCGGGTGCGCTTCGTTGGACGAGTACTTCTTCAGGATCCCGGGCGACCCCGCGACCAACCCAAGGCGTCAGAGCGCCGTCGATATATAAAAAATATTCTCTCACTCTTTCTCCCCTCGTTGAGGGACAGACGGCCCATTAACCTCTTGTTTCCTGTGTTACCGTCGTCGAGATAAATAATACTCATCACACCCATCAGCAAATTGGAGCAGAAACCGCGATCAAGTAATAAAATACTTGCATCGGCGATGCTAATCCGAACACGTGCTTCAAGCTTCCTGGCCCGACGAGGACGGTCGCACCAACGTCACAACAGCTCAACAACACCACCCGGGGCTCTTGATGCCCGTGGCCGTTGTTGTTGCTACATACTTATTTTAAGCTCTGCTACTGTTCATCGCATTGGTATTAGGCATTGTGGAAAAGGAAGTCATTGCACCATCGGTGACAATTAAGATACGTGACCAAGGCCCCGAGGGCGTCCGTCCGTCCGTCCTCTCTCCCTCTCCTTTCAGCATAGCAGCTCCGAACTTCGAACCGAGTCAGTCCATCTCTCTTTCTCCGCGTGTCCCCCTCACATTAGAAGCCAGTCGAGTAAACTTTCTCTTTAGCCTACCTCCCCTCCGCTCGCTCGGGCTATGCCCCCTACCTGGTCGAGGACGACTCTCCGACGACCTGACGCCGCTGCAGCGGCCGCCACGCGGACTCCCAGCCACGCGCAGCTCCGCTGCTGAGCGAGCCTCGCCGCTGTCATCGACGCCGCGGCGCGACTCCCAGAGGAAGGGCCGGCCGCCATGAGCAGCTGGACCGAAAGGATGCATCGACGTGCGGCTACCCTGGGCAACGTGGTCACGAGCTGTGGACACCCGTCCTCGGTCTCGCCGTACCCACGACGATTAGACAAGTTAGTACCTACTTGGATACTCTACTACCTGTAGCTCTTTACTCTTACTCTCTCCATTTCATTGGGTGTATACTTGGCCCAAAAGTCACAATTTTCTTGAGTAAGTACTGAATCCTATACGCCTTTGCACGACTGTCTATTTTTTTTTTTTTTTTTTGTTACAGAGTCAAGTTTGGTGTGCCACTCGACGAAGTCTGCAAAAACGACATACCTGGACCTCTACTGGTGAGTAATTAACTAGGGGACATTATGATAACTTTATCTAGTACTCCTCCTGTAAACGTATTCAGTTTTATACGTATATTTTCCGTCCAATGACCCCTGACGCAAATGATATTTTTCACAGGTTTTGATATTAAAGCTCAATAAGGAAGCACCGTCGCGAAAGGATGTGTTCAGGGCACCGGGACACCAAGGCAATATGAAAAAATTAATTCACTTTCTTCAGACTGGACGCTTAGTCAATATGGATAATTTCAGTGTTTACACGATAGCTAGTGTTTTAAAAAAGTTTTTGCGCAAAATTCCCGGTGGTGTTTTCGGTAGAGAGGGAGAACAACAACTTTTTAGAGTGATACAATTAGATAGCATAGAACAGCAGAGGGACCAGGTACACAAGTAAGAATGTCTTTCTTTTCTTCTTGGATTGAGTTATTATCGTTTTTCTTTAATGAGACAAGTTATTTTTAAAAACCTCATTAATAGGTTGATTACTTCTCTACCAATCCACACTCAGCGACTACTAGTTTTGTTATTTGGAACATTTAGAGTGGTGGCGGTAAACAGTGAAAGAGCCAGAACAGGCATGACTAGTGAAGCTTTAGGTGTTTCTGTAGCGCCTTCTTTTTTTCAAAGTTGTGTTAGTGACGGAAAGACTGCAAAAATGGAAGATGTACTCAGATTCAAGGTAAACAAAACTTTCATTGCTCAAGTTTTTTCAGTTAATTAACAAATTAATAATTTGTGTGGGTACAACAAGTCTTTGCTTTTTATGGAATCGTATTAATATTTAAATCAAACATGAAACACATATTCAAAGCAATATTTATTTCATGTTTGATTTAAAT